ATGATGAGGCCTCGGTTACGTCAGAAAAATCAGATTTCCGCTCGAAGTAATCCCATAAATCTTTAAACTCCGAAGTAATTCAATTTTTCATTTTGACCGGACTTGGTATTCACGCCGGGCATCCGCAAATCCAACGAGAGCGTGGGAGTGCTTTGCTCTTAGAGGAGATACCCACTGTAGGCGTTTGAAGCTTATTAAATAAACTATTTTACTGCCTACATCGCCTATACGAATAATTGATATGACAATATGAATATGCATTCTTCAGCTTTCGTTAGGATCCCATGTCCATGTTCGTTAAGGTTCAGGGATTAATCTCCCTAGGGCATCAGCTGTATTAGAAAAACTTCGTCTTCGAACACTAACTCGATTATGAGCTATCCAAGCAAGCTTCCAGAGAGGATCATTCCCATTTTGCATTTTCGTATGTAGGAAGGGGTTGTCCTGTATTGAAGAGCGTCAAGCTTATGTGGTTCAGGCAGGGTGAGATGGGGTGGGAGGTCATATCTGGAACAAATTGGAATAAAAACGCTGGGTAGACTATCAGCCTATAGCAGCAGGCCAACCATAACACCCAGTCATTCAACCACCGTTCCAATTCTGAGTGAAATCTGAACACATGGCCTAAACACGGAACTTTGGACTGCAAAGCTTTTTCAAGAACAGATTGAAGCTGCGAAAAGGTCATTTGGTATTCAACCGAACAGACCCATGGAATCCTTTCATCAACGGAATTGAAACGACCATGCATAACTCGATTATGCGCATTTTCTATAATTCCGAAGGGTAGCCGAGTGAAAGCATAACAAAACCTCGCTTGGGAATTTTTCGCAAATTTCCAAAAAACCCCTTCGAAATTCGCGAAGAATTCTCAAGGGAAGATGAAGACGTCATTTTTACATTGAACTTTCTCGTGAACCCCAGAAAGCAGTCTTGTCGTGACAGCTTCTCCATGGAGCATCAGCGAAACCTTGTCAGGACGACTAGGGAATAACTTCCCGATGAAATGACACACGGATGCCCGCTTTTATCAAAGACTACCCGGGGACTTCCCCCTCCAATTCTACGTTTTCTTGCAGTTTGAAGTTTGATGCTTGCGTCATACTGTATGTAGGTGTCACGACTCTTGTACGCCATTAGGCCCGGCTCTTGCAGCGCGAATGCGCTGCAAAGTGTTCTCGTATTCTCTCGGTCTTATTCGTAGATATAGGATAGAGGTGGAGCCTACTTTTCTTCGCAAAAGCTCTTGTTAAGGGTAAATGGGAGAGTGAATAATGCTTCTTACGTTTTCTCTGACGACACAATCTCAGAAAAGTCTGGAAAGCCCATTGCACTAGCTTCCACTTAGAAAGAAACAATGGAAGACATGCAAATTAGCTTATTCCCTTACTTAGACTCTTTTGGGGACTAGCTAGGAGTAAAATGCTTTTATCAGACAAATTTTGTAGGAGTTTGGGATCCCTAGAGGGATATTTAGGAAGATTAACGTGGACAGAACCACTAGTATTTGAAATGTTACGACTTATTACTACTGATATCAGGACATGTTATTTCTGCTTCTATATACATCTTCGTAAATGTGTAATAAAGTCAGACTGGTACCTGGGATTAGTCTGGGAGGGCAAGAACTCTAACTAGAAAATCAGCATTCAAAACGCCATTACAATTCTGGATAGAAGCCGCATGCGGGGCGTATCCCAAAAACAGGATATGATGGACCTCAAATGTCATAACCCTTTAACTTCTCCCTCACTATTCAAGCATTGAAGCTGGATTATGGAAATGATACTCTGAATTTACAGAATGGCGCATGGGTGATATCATGCCTATCAGCTACTACACCTCTCTTATTTTTTCTTATTTTTTCTCATACTAACATAGATTCGTATAGCAATAACATACTTATATGATGAGGAAAAGTTTCCAATATATCTACGCCGAGTCATTTAGTATGCCTGCTCAGTGACGTAGAAAAGTGCAAAGATGAAGTAGTACTGTGTAGGAGAAGGTGCAAGAGTACCTGGCCGTAAGGGCTCTTGTGACTTATGGGGCTTTCCTAGGATTTTGCCACTCATGCATAATGAAACAAGCGCCATCCGCTTTCGTATTCAACCTTACAGTATTCTTTAGCAGGAAATCTCCTGGAGAAGTTCGCCTGGAAAAACAGAATCTTCCCTTCCTAAGATCGGGTCATCACCCCAGCCTCTTCAGGGTCGTGTTCGTGTCAAAGTATAGACCTCAGCAGCAGACGTATCTTATCAAATCAACTGCTGACGGTTCATTGCTGGCTACTCCTGCCCCGATGAGGCGTCACAGTGTCATTTATCAGTCAGGAGACACCATCATAAGCAGAGAAGGACCCAGAGAAAGTTGCGCTTTCACTTGATGGATTACTGTCTGTCTGCGGTAGGGCTATAATAGATTATGTATATACTCTTCCATGGGAAAAGCTTTGCAGCTATAAGAAATAGCTTGGCAACAAGCAAAGGGGATAAAAGGTCCGCTGAGTGAAGTTAAACGGTCCTATAAACTCGGGATTGAGCAATTTTGGAAATGAATAAGTAAAGGGATAAAAATGGAAAGTAGTAGAGTGGAGGGAGACGAGTGAAGGGGTCAAGAGTTACAGTCAAACGGCTGGACCGTTAAACTAATCAATGCAGATAACTTAGAGAAATGGCTGAGGCGAGACAACTAGCTAAGGATCGTTGTAAACTGTGAAGGACCAGAAATGAAGCTCCTTCCCCTCACTGCACGTAAACAAATGGATACTAGTTAAAGAAAAGTATTAATCACATATAAGGGAAAGGATACAAGATTCAGAATAGCAGAAGAGCTTGGTGGGTAGCAACCCACGCTTCGAGGGCAAACCACTTCTGAAGTCAGTGCATTACGTGAGCTCCCAGTCACGTGTGTCACTAAACCTGAAAGTGCGAACGATTTTGAGTCCAGTTGTAATCCTATCACCTGAAATGACTCACTGAGCCTCTGCGTTTCTCTTGTCTCCCATAAATAGCTTCACACAGAGGTACTTTGAAAAGTGAACGCTCTTATGTGTCATCTATAGCTGTCAGATTCGATAAAAGAGAAAAAAGAAGGGAATAAAGAGAGAAGAGAAAAAAAGAAGGGAATAGGGGAAAAAAGAAGAAAGAAAAAATGATTGCTGCCATTTTCGTTAGGTGAAATGAATTTTCTGAAAAAAGCTGTCCTGATAGCCACAAAGAAGTTTGGGCTTTACTAGTTGACCCGGAATGCACTACTCTGCTTCCTGAGTGGCCTTTTCGGGCCTTGGCGGTAGTTCGAAGAGACTCTACAACGTCTTAGGAGCCACCCCATATGTTAGCTTTTCATAAGGATAGGATGGGAAGGGTGACCCAGTTGGGGTTGGGGAATTCTGAAAACCGGAGCGGTACAGTATCATCAGCTGCTCTACACAAGTGGGAACAGCTAGTATCAGGAAGCATATTTAAAAAAAGCATTCACCCATTAATAAGTCCACCGGGCCCACCCAAGGAACACGAATGGGTGAAAAGTTCAACCCAAACATTTAAATCTGGAGCTTTGAAGAGTTAATGGTGTCAAAAAGGACTCTCGATGGCATCCTGGGAAACAACGTGATGTTGCTGTTCGAATAAACTCATTCTCGGAAACACCATTATTCATTTGAGCAGCGCTGCTTCGATAGGGACAGGAAGTGCAGTCTGGATGTCGCCAATGAGTTATTGGTCAACATCGAAGGATGACAAATGCCTCTTTCGTAGGGATTCAGTTTTTGCACTCAAAGAAACTCGTCCTGGTTGGTCATTGTGAACTCAGTTGCTTGAACAGCGGACCGAACCACCTAGCTCCGAAACAATTCTCCCACTCTTTTTGACCTGCCCATAAATGTTGAACATGAGAGTGATATACTAGTAATTTTCTGCGTTGTTTTCCTCACAAGTCTCTTCCCATCTCGATGGTTTCACCATCGCCCGACAAGGACGATCAAAACAAGGGTGGCTCATATAAAACGCCGTTCTCATACGTTGCCATTCGATTAATGACGAAAACATTTCTGCTTTTCTTACCTCTTCACTGCTGGGCGATTTATTCAAGTAGGTTGAAGTTTTCAGTGAAAATTGTTGTAGCGAATATAATCAAATCAAATATTTTTGGGATTAAGATGGGATGTTGGGAAGTAGCGGGGTTTTTGCCTCAGCTTTCACATGAGGGTTGGTCAAGTGGGTAGAAGAGTAGGTCTGGTCGCACTCAGGAAGCTTACGAATTCGTTCCCTGACAGGCAGGCAACGATCTGCNATGCACTAACACTGTTTCTATGCAGACACAACCTCCTCTAATGCTATTTCGAGTTGTTTCAAAACATTGATATCACCGTAATCGTTTCCATAGGTATCGGGTGGTGTCGGTTCANGGGGGGAGGACCCAGCACAGCAAATATTCAAAAATAATGACAGTAACAGAAACTTGAACAATTTCATCATCCGCTTTGGTTTGATTTAAGGTTTGGATTTTTTTCTGAGTAACTGTTCCTCATCGTTTTCATTTGAGTAACGGACTCCATAATTTTATATCAGAAGTCATTTTAGTGAACGAAGGTATTCATGGTAGCAACATATTTTAGGTTGCCCATACTGCCCTCAATACCCCGTTGTCTACCAGAGTGCACTGCCTGCAGCAACATGGACAGCATCACCAACTACCGTGATTTACCGTACACCGAGGTTGTTGTTGTTATTCAACGTTCAACATCGTTTGCAACAACATATCTTTATAACTTTTTATTTCGATTTTTTTAATAATTCGTTTATAAGCGTGGGCTAATGCGATGCTAAGTGAAGCTATAGCTACACGTATGACCCTGGGATTGAATCCTTGCCATACGAAATCGAGTTCGCGGAGTTACCAGAAGAGGGCAACATATCGCGTGTAGTTTTAAACATGACCCGAGGAAAAAACAATCGGAATGACTTCCAATATCTTATTGATTTCGGGGTCATACTCACAGTAAAACAATAGCTGGTTACCTCCTAGATATATGAAAACAGGCTTTCGTAAGACGTGAAAGTGAAGGCTGATTCTGATTAGCACACGTTCTGTCTAGAACGATTCTTAGCCACACCTCTTTCATTTTCGACCGATCTGCCTTTCGGTGAACTGCATGCAGTATGCTAGGCTAAACGGATACTTCCAAAAAGTCATAGCCGTGGTTGTTCCGCCCGAAGCTAGCAGACAAATGCAGAGTGTTTATTACAGAACAAACTGGACACAACAACCAATCGAGGGGTTTATATGCCCCAACGAGATCATGGCTTAGGGCCAAAATGATTAGTGTCAGTAACAGTATCAACGATTCTTGACTTCTACAACAATGGTCAACAGCCTAGATGCACTAACACTGTTTCTATGCAGACACAACCTCCTCAGATGCTATTTCGAGTATCAAAACATTGATATTAACGTAATCGTTTCCATAGGTATCGGGTGGTGTCGGTTCAAGAACCCGTTGAAAGCGAACAAATCAACGAAGCCATAGAGATGGATGAAGATCTGAAGAATGCGGATGTAAAAGTGAATCACCTCGCTGGAGCAAGTGATGAGTACGATCCATGTAAGTTCACGTACGTGAATTATGGAAGGAAGCTTCCAGGGAAGATACTGTCGTCTCAATGTCACTTGTGTTTAGTTGGTCCAGTACGACAAGGATATGGTTTGCAGCCGCCACATGCGACGTTTAGAACTGGAAAATTGAATCATTATCATCACCATATGACATCGCTGAAAACGGAAATGGTAACTAAAGGTAGGTACTCGTTCAAATTTTCGGAAAATTGTAACAGTTTGCTCAAACTGTAAACTTTCGTCCACATCGGTCTATCCGAGAACATACATGATGCACGATCTTGAAGCTCTTTGAGAATGAATATGATCGGTCTGGTTCTCATACACGTTAGTAGGCTTTGTAGAAAAGGCAGTTTCTCACAATACTCTTGAAAAAGACAGTAAAACTGATCTGCTTGCAGTGCGTAAGTTGCAACCAGCTTGTCATTGCCGGGTAAAACCCTTCACTGATGAATTACTGTAAGAATCAATCCGTCCGTAGAGGGCATCATCGAAGCTCATTTCAGAATTATGTTACTTTCTGTGTGCATCACAAAATAAAACTTTTAACTTTCAGGGTTCGGTGGAGGTGATTCGTACTATGCTGGAGCTGCAACACCAAAAGAAATGATCGGTCAAAGTATCGTCCTTACTTCTCCATAACTTCATTTGTATAGAATTGAACTGATGATGAATTTTCTAGAGGGTGGCTACGGTGAAGCACACATGCCTGCAATGGAGAATACGGCAAACACAGGTACGACTTTCATCTGCTTGAATTTACATCACATCGACAGATGTGGAGGTGGAGCAGTAGCAGCTTAGCACTACCACTTCACGTATGACTCGAGGGGTTCAATTTTGAAATAGTAGTCGCTCAGCTATACGGTGCCGTCTTCCAAAGGGAGACGTTCCCCACAAGCTGTTGTTCAGTTTAACAGCCATTCATACGCCAGTACAGTTCCGAAAGGAAGTTCATTACTTGGGCCGGAGGAAGTAACCAAAACGATCTTCCTTCACGCGCCAACCCTATCATTCTCATATCGCTACCAGATATTATGTCAATGACTATGACTGTTAATTCTTTACTTTTAGGAATGCTACAGAATTCACAGGAGCCTTCAAAACTCAAATGGCTCGAAAAGGAGATTGTTAGTCAACCGGACTTCGGAGTCGAAAAGCAAACAAAAATCACTCAACAAATGGGGGCCATTGAAAAAGAGGAAAAAATCGGTGAATCGGTGAGTGTTGGTAAGGGACAGTGTCAGGAGGTGTTGAAGGAACCATCAGTATGGTGCACTCAGTACGGTGTCCGAAGAGCACAGGCACAGGTCCTGTTCAAGGTGAAACTTTTAATTGTAACTTTGACTCATTGCGTATCGCAGTGTTTTGCGCTAGCTGCCGCATGTGCCCGACGTTTCCTTCAAAATCGACGCAGGTGACGTGGTTCACGGCGTGTAGCACGCAGCCACCCAGAGCGGTTGTTTGAGCGAATCGCGAAGTATGGGCTGTTCAAACTTTAACAAAACTCTAGAGTGATTTTGGACGAAAATGCGGGCGCGCAAAGGCAGAGGGGCGTTCTTCACCATGTGCAGCACGCGGTACGCAATGGTTAATCAGCTCTCAAAATTGTCAACTGGGGAACCAACCAACGAAGGCTTAAGTCCATGGTCGTCATGCTAACTGCCTTTGAAGCCACCGTTCGTCATGACATCATGACTATTCAATGGGTTCATGTAGACTCTGGCGCTGAATAATACGGCAGTATCTAAAAAAATCAGAAAAAATCTCAAAATCCACAGATCGAATAGAACCCCTTTTATATTTTTTTTATGATTATGATTTATTATCGGAAATCAGAGAAAATAACAAAAAGGCAAAAAAAGGAACACAAACGAGTCTCCGATAAGCAGTAATCTTAACTAATGGGGAACAGCAAAGGGATCTGCGTGAAGAGGGATTGGAATTCGGCTCGGAAGGGCAGTGGCCGCCAACACTGCAAGCTCGTACAGGGCGACATATGTAGAACTCCGGATACCGTCTTAGTAGGCCCGCCAACCTGCCAAAACCAAAACCAGCATCGCAGAAGTCGAGGGGATAGTGTTGTGCACAGAACGTGAAATCAACTACGCATTGAAAAAAAAAGTAGAAATAAATTAACAGTTTTCTGAGCCAGACAAAGTTATTTACATAACGGCAAATTTAATCGCTTCTCTGCCTGATAAGTTATTGAGAGTTTAGTTTCTTGCTCCTAAAACCAACCTTGAGACACTAAAATATTCTTAACTTTCCTCCTAAATGAGCTGGGAGAGCTAGAGTAAACCACGGAGGGCGGTAACTCATTCCATAAACTAATTATTCTTTGAGTGAAAGAATTCCAATATTCAGCAGTGAAAGTTTTTTCCCTTAATAGTTTATAGCTATGACCTCTAGTACGCCCGATAGTAGCTGATTTGCGGAAGAACGAATCGAAATCCAAATCCACCAGACCAGTGGAAATCTTGTAAACAAAATCGTAATCATACAACTTCCTTCTCATCTCTAAGGAATTCTCGCTCAGATAGCCCAATCTTTGTTTATAAGAGACGTGAAAAATGCCTTTCCGAGCAAAAATACGCTCGGTGAATTTGGCCTGAACACTCTCAATAAGATCTACCATGTTACGCGTGGAGGGACTCCATACCATAGGGCAGTATTCCAATATAGGTCGTACATA